AAACCCCAAAACCCCAAAACCCCAAAACCCCAATTCATACATTTCCAATTGCAATTATAATTTAGAAATGGGAAAAAGTCACAGTATTTCTCAAAACAAAGAAAAATGAAAAATATTTCAAGAACAATCATGCCAGACTGATGAGATTACCCTTTCATATCAAAAGATAGCACCTACTAAAGATTGGGAAACCTTTCTTCCTGAGAATGAGGGCATTGTCATTAAGTTACAGGCTATCTGGAGAGGAAGTATTGCAAGAAAAACATTCAGAACCCCGAAGGATTCTCATAATAAGTAAGATAATTGATATATAGAATATAGATCAGTTGACAAAAAGGGTAACTCAGACCCCAAATACTTCAAATCCGAGGATGAATCTGAAACTATTCAAAAAGGAAAAGTATATAACTTCGACCAGCCCAGAGTTATAAAGAAGTACACCTACAAGTCAGGAGCTGTGTACGAAGGAGAGTGGAAGGGAGGTTTCAGAGATGGTATTGGTACTCAGAAATGGCCAGATGGAGCAACTTACGAAGGATCTTGGAGGTTCAATAAAGCTGAAGGTAAAGGCAAATTCACTCATGCTGATGGAGACATTTATGAAGGCGACTGGGCAAACGATAAAGCTAATGGGTTTGGAGTATATAACCGCAATAATGAAGCTACTTACCATGGCCATTGGAAAAATGATCTTCAAGATGGTAAAGGAATTGAAAGATGGACAGACAATTCAGAACATGAAGGGGAATACCAAAAAGGTAAAAAGCACGGCTATGGGGTGCACAAATGGAACGATGGCAGTATTTACGAAGGCCAGTGGGAAGATAATAAAATGTGAGGTGTTGGAATTTACAAATTTTTTGATGGCAGAAAATATAGAGGAGAATGGAAAGATAATAACATGGAAGGACATGGATTTTATATTTGGAGAGACGGCAAAAAGTATCAAGGTCAGTATAAAGATGATAAAAAGCATGGCTATGGGATTCACAAATGGGCTGATGGAAGAACATATGAAGGATCTTGGGCTTTAGGTAAACAGCATGGTCTTGGTCGATACTTATGTTCTGGTACTGTCAAGTACGGTCTCTGGGAGGAAGGTGCCCGAATCAAATGGTTTAATCAACAAGAGGTAAAGAGAATTAAAAATGGTGATGATTCTTGGTTCAAGCAAAATTGGAACCAAGACTTGCTTCTCCTCTCCAATAAGAGAGTCGCCTTTGGTATGACAGAAGGGGTTAAAAAAAGTTTGGAAAAAGTAGCCATAAAGATTGGAAAAATGGATCAGCTTTAATTTTTATGAAGAATTGGGCTATTTCATGCAATAAATCAATCTTGTTAGAAATTATCTTTCAATACAATATTTATATTTAGGGGTTTTGGGGTTTTGGGGTTTTGGGGTTTTGGGG